TCTATATATACATATATGGGAAATCTGAACACCACCTGTCAAAACTGAAGTGCATATGCGATGGAACTTGGCGTTACGATAAAAAAATATATATACATATGTATATATATATGTGCAGCTTATGGGAACTCTGTCTTATGGGTTTAATAAATACTATAATTATATTCACGGGGTATACATATATATAGTACTTGAATAGTACTCGAAATTACATATATATATATATATGTACATTCAATTGCAATCACTTATTCCTACCGACCATTGACTATGGTAATTTTTACTTATTCATCATTTTTTATTATATTTGTCTTTTTCTTCACTTTGTATAATCATTTGCTTGTTATTTTATTTTCTCTTCGGTTTATATCATACCTGTAATTTCATTTTACAGATGATATTATTTACAAATTGTATATTACGATATGTTTTAGGTAATTTATTACTATAATAGTTATTATTTTTTATATTATTATTACATAAATAGATTTAAAACATAATGATTATAAAAATAATAATAATATGTTATATTATATATTATAACATATATTATAAAAATAATAAATAATTTATATATTATAGATGGTAAATTGTTTTTTGAGAGACAAAAAAAAATTGAGTTTCCGCTCTTTATTCTCGTCGCGTGATTTTAATTAATTACATTTTTCAGAGATATTTTCAGAAAAATTGGAAGACATTTTTTTTAATACATTAACTGTTGTTAATGGTTGTTTCGACGACAGGTGGAGGACGGGTTGAATTTTTCGAGCTTGATAGTGCGCGGGGGTAAGATTGCCCTGTCACCTTGACAAATGGTTTGTGAGCTATAAAGGTACCAGTAGCAAATGGTGGATGAAAAAAAAAAAAAAGAAAGAGAGTTCATATATTTTTACTATTTTCTTCGTTTCCCTATATATATTTTTTTTTCTCGCCCTTCACGTGTTCTATGTCCCACGACACCCCTTATTTGAAGATATGTACCTTGATTACCAATCACCGCCTACGTCATCGTCAACGATTAGTCATTAATGATCGACAGTTGCGGCAAATTATTATCCACGACAAGGAAATTATATAGACGCTTCCTCCTCAAAGTGCTTTTCCAATATATTAGCGTGCAATAATATCCACATCTTTAAAAAAATTTTATACAAAGCAAATTTCAATATCAAAAAAAAAATACAATTTCTATTTTTGTTAATTTCGTATTATCTAAAAATTTTTGAGTATTAGTTGGTAATTAATTATGATTTTTTTAAAAGCCTATCATACTCTCTAAATCTGAATTAGTAAAAATCTTTACTAATTTAAATTAGTGACTCACTTTTTGCTCTCTAAATCTGAATTAGTAGAAATCTTTACTAATTTAAATTAGTGACTCACTTTTTGCTTTAGAATCAGTTAAATTTTACTAATTGAGAAGCAAAAAGTGAGTCACTAATTCAAATTAGTAAACTTTTTTTACTAATTCAGATTTAGAGAGCACATCTTAAGTCCATTTTTTTAAAAAAATTACTTTTTCATTGAAAATTTTTTCTATCAATGAAACCTAAAAAATTATTATTAATTTCCATATTAATAATTAAGAAGTAATTAAAGATTTTTGCGGGGAAATATGTTCATTACTCGTTTGCGGCTTCTAATATTTTTGATTGCAATGTTACGCTCCATTTGTATAGGAATGTGCGATCGTCACTCCAACTTCATTTAGTCGCGGTATATATATACTTGAAACACACACAGATATCGATGCAGCCCAATGGTGGTGATATAACTTTAATTAGATGAATTAGATCATTTTGCGTTACTGAAAGTCACGTCCAATGCGATTATTCCACCGTGACTTCCTGGTACCGGCAAAAACACGAAAAAAAACTATTTTCAATGAAATAGTCAACTTTTTTTTCCCCCTCCCATAATAAAAACCATGAAAGCCATTGTTTGAGAAGATCAAAATATTTCCCATTCAAATAGAAAAAAAATTTTCAGAAATTGATTTTTTTTTATGTCCCAAAAAATCATTTTATTCATAAATGTTTATAAATTATTTTATTTAAATTCAAAAAATTTATGTGAATTGACCTTTAATTAATTTTTTAAAATACAATTTAATAAAAAATTATATTTTGCAATTAAACAAAATCCAAGTTTAGAAATTTGTTTGCAGCACATAAAAGAAATGTCAATTTATTCACGAAATGATTTAGCAGGTATATATATATATAGAGAGAGAGAGAACAAAAATCAATTCGGTGGGCAATAAATAATGATGTTTAATTAGTCCGGTGAAATTCGAATTTTGAAAATTGATGATTGCTTTGTGTGTGTGTGTGTGTGGGAATTTTTTTCTTTCTCTGTTCTTTTTTTATGAAGGGGGAGAGAGGGGGGAATGTTGTGGGAGTGAAATCAGAGAGAGTATTCATTGGTGGTAATTGAAAATTCACCCCCAACGTATTGGCACGTACACACACGTCGTTGTGTCGACCAAAAATCACATTCTCGTTGCCACCCCTCGAATTAACATGGAGCATAAAGGCATTCCCACACAGGAGTAGCTCACGCAACCAGTACGCATGAATGCATAATGTCTGTGGACAGTGATTTCCACCCTCTGCGAGCCTCGACACCCTCTTCACCCCTCAATATATATATATATATATATAGGGACAGATGGGGTTCTCACGACCCCCACCCAATGCGCGCACTAATGTCGCTAGTAATCGAGGTCGATACTGCTACTGTCATAACACCCAAAGACACGCAACATTTAGTTTGCTTTACCGCAATGAATTATGCCCTGTCACCTTTCAATTTGCTTTGTAATTCCTTTTTCTTTTTTTTTTATTTTTAGACGCAATTATCTGTCTTTTAATTCGATCCTAACGTGTTGCTATATATTAAATATATATATAACGTTATTATTATATCTTAATAACATTTGACATTTTAAGTGTACATATATATATATATATACAAATATGAAATTGTCTCGAGGTCAATATTAATGAACGGCAATTAGATGCTTTTTAATCGTGTGTAGGTTTAAAAAAATATTATATATAACCAAAATTTGGTTGGGCCAACAAAAAAATTTTGTTGGTATTTAAGCGACCAAACTATTTGTATGAGTCAACCAAAAAAATTTGGTTAAGTGTTGAAATATTTGTGGACTTTGAAAAATCTCATCTCCGCCTGGGATCGAACCTCTGTTTTAAAACTGAAGATTGGGAGCTCTGACCACTGGTCTTTGTGAGAGATTTAAACTATAACTGTTCTCTTAAGCTATGAGCTGAGAGCGAATCAAATTATTTGGTTGTCGCAACCAAATTTTGGTTAGGACAACAAACGATCATTTGGTTTTTTAGACCAAACTATTTTGTAGTGTTAACCAAATTATGTTGTTGTCGTAACCGAATTTTGGTTGGAATTTAAAAATGTTCAACCAAATAATTTTGTTGGCCTAACCAAATGTTTGGTTGAGATAACTCTACGTCTTTGTTTCAGCCAACCAAAATTTAGTTACAAGAACCAAAATTGACTAATCAAACAATTTTGTTGCAAGCACTAAATTAAAAAAAAGTTTTCTAACAATATCCATATCACTGAGAAAAGGGTTTGGTTTTAACAACAAAACGTTTTTTTTTTTTGGTATTTAAGCAACCAAAATTTTTCTGATTTGCCGAATATTATTAATAAAATTTTTTGAATTATACTAAGACTAATATTTTTATTAATATTAATAATAAATCACAATGATTTTGATGATGTTTTTTATTATAAAGAATGATTTTATGCGAATAATGGGATAACGAATTTAATAAAATGAAATGAAATGTGTGTATTTAATAAATTAAGGAAACAAGTGGTTTTATGTACATAATTATCAGATTTTGTCGGATTTAAATTAATACGATATGTTATATATATATATATATATGTGATGTGTATGGGACAGTAAATATTGTATAACATAAAATGAGTGTTTGTATATTTGGTGAAAATTGTGTATACATTAAATACGTATATCAGTGAGAGAATTGCATGTCATACAGAGCGTATAACGATCATCCCTTATCGTCTCTCTTCAAACGACATTATTAACGCGTGACAGTGCTATCATTCTTTATTTATGAAATCGCAACTGCGACATAACGAAAATAACGACCCTGTCTATCAATCTCATCGAATGTTAAAATCAATTACTCATTATTATTTTTTTTTCTAATTAAAACAAATAACTGAAACGTTCATAATTTCTGTTCTTTTCTCACTCTTTCTTTCTTTCTACAATATATATATTTATATATATATGCAAACACAATTTGTCACTCATTTTCACATATATTCTTTGATAATATTTTTCCAATAAAATATATCTTCAATTATAATTGTAACATTTTTAAGTTTTATTTTACGCTAATTATACAATACACTCATAGAGAAAAATTATATTTGAACCAAACACATTTTTTATTTATTCAATTTTTTTATTATTTGAAATTAAAATTTTTTCAACTTCAATAAACATTTGTTAATAATATTTTTCATAACAAATACATGAATAATAATAATTTATTTCATTGTATAGGCCTTTACAATTTCCATCCTAATATATAAATAATAATCTTAATTACTAATAACAAATACAGTTTATTATACACTCTATTTGCTTATTTTTGAACAAATTTTGAAAATAATTTAAAAAATACAGTTATACAAAAAAAACAGAGTGCATGAAGATAACTTTTCTCTTAGTATTTTTTAAATTTCTGATTCATGAAATTAATTATACTAAATTTTAATAATAATATCTGTATTTAAATTCAATAACAATATGAAATTATCATTCATAAATGCGATATTTAAAAAAATATAAATACCATTTAAATGAAGAATTAGATTTATAAAATTTACAAACAGCTTTCATAACATGCAAATCCCTAAATTGAAAAGAAGTTTTTTAATTAAAAGTTTTCATAATTTTTTTTCTTCTCTTGCAGGTCGGATAGTGAACGCAAGATGATAAATCCGGAAACCGGTTGTTACTCATCCGAGTCGGTGCGAGCGTGGTGAGTTACATATTTTTATACCCCTTTATATTTATATATATAAAACTTTTTTCTTCTTATATGAAACAAAAAATGCAAATAAAAATTAACAATGAATATGTCTGATTATAACATCAAAATATCATGATTGCAATTCACTGAAAGTGAAAACTAGGTAAGGGAATATAAGGGAACTGTATATATATAAGTTTATATGTTAATTAACAGACCCTGACATTAATTTGAGACCTGTTGCCAATATTTAGACTTGAAAAAAGCGCGTTTGAAGTATCCATTAGTTAAACACGTTATTTTTTTTTAAACCCCCTTTTACGTGTGCACTAACAACGTCAGTGTCACACAGGGGTTGCACATATAATTCTACGTCGCAAGGAGCATATTTACCTCTTAATCTAAATATGGAATAATTTTTACCAAACTGTGCCCTTCTCCACCCCACCCCTACTCTGACGAAAATCTGGTTTTAGCTTTAATCAGTCTCGACTTTCAACTCGCACTCTTCAATCTCTCATTAACGAAGTCGAGTTGTAATTAGTTTGAAAATTCCAAATGTATGTTATTTTTTTCATTACATGCAAAATGCGTTCACTGCAAAAAAATTCTTTAAAGGAGAAAAGCTCATTGGGAAAATAACATTTAAAATACAAAATTAATAATATACATATAGGACACACAAAAAAAAATATATATTGTTCGAAACAACCAATATTTGTTTAAATTTTAAAACAATCAAATTTTTGTTGAAACAACCAAATAAATCTATTGCTAGACAGTTAACCAAACTTTTGGTTGAATCAATAAAAATTTTATTTAACTCAATTAAATTCTTTGTTCAATTGAAAAATTTATTAAAAGACACGGAAAAAAGTTTTGTTTGAACCAAATATACAATTTTTTTATATTAACCCCTTGACAGTCCAGGGCCCATATGTGGCAAGAAAAAGTCGTGCCACCTTTGTGCAAGTGGCCATATATGGCCATCGCAAAAAAATAATACTAAATTTAATTTGATTCGCCTGAAATTTGTTACTCGGGGGTTTTTGGGGTCGCTGAATCCAAATTTGAAGTCAGATTTCAAAAAAACAAAATGGCGGACCCAAAATGGCGACCATGAAAACTTAAAATTTATCAGATTTACATGAAACTCGTTGTTCAGGGGTTTTCGGGGTCTCTGATTACGAATCTGAAGTCGGTTTTTCAAAATTCAAAATGGCGGATCCAATATGGCGGATAATTTAAAAATTAATGCGTTTTGACCACAAATTGTTACTCGAGGGTTTTCGTAGTCGCTGAATTCGAATTTGAGGTCAGTTTTTCAAAATTCAAAATGGCGGATCCAATATGGCGGACAAATTTTTAAAAAATCAATCCGATTTGTCTGAAATTTGTTACTCGGGGGTTTTTGGGATCGCTGAATTCGAATTTGAGGTCGGTTTTTTGAAATTCAAAATAGCGGATCCATTATGGCGGACAAATTTTTAAAAAATTTGTCCGCCATATTGGATCCGCCATTTTGAATTTTGAAAAACTGACCTCAAATTCGAATTCAGCGACCACAAAAACCTTAAATATGATGAAGTCATATTTTTTTGGAAACTTTTTTTTCGGACCGTTTTAGGCCCACCAGCGATTTTTAACTGGACTGCGAAGGGGTTAATACAATTGTTTTGGATATTTCAATCAAAACATGTTTGCAATTTAAATATCTAAATATTAATTTGATTTAAATAAACGTTTGGTTTATTTTAATAAATTTATCTTGAACAAAGAAAAAAAACCATGAGCATTTGAAAAAAAAGTTTTGGTGGATTTAACTAAAAGTTTCATTAACTTTATAGCAATACATTTATTTGGTTGATTTAATCAATATTTTGTTAATTTAATAACCAAAATTTATATTGTTTCAAACAAATTTAATTAGGTACTTAAAAAATTAATTGTATATTAAAAATTCAATTTGTTTTAAAATATCAATTATTCAAGTGAAATTTTCATAATTTGAATTTAATTGCCAAATGAATAAAAAAGTAAGAAACAATTTTAAAATTTCTCAAAACAAATTTTTAATTACTTTTAATTCATTGTTATTTTAAGTTAAATTAAAAAATTAAATCTTTAAAATTTCCAAATGCAATATATTACTATTTTTAATATTTTTACTTTTGTATATGATTTTATATTTTACTAGATGTTAGTTTTAATGGAATTTTTTTTTTTATTGCTGTAGAAATCTTCGATATTGCAATATATAGATATGGGTGATTCTCCAGAAACAGGTCACTTTTGATTCTTTGATTAATTAGTTAATAAATATTATCTAGAATTGGTTTATTTTTTTTTAAATTTCTTCATTTTAATGATCTTTATTAAACTCATTATCAATATAATGATATTTTACTTCCCAAAATTTAATTTGTCATCTGAAATATGCTAAAAATATACTTTTGCTCGTTCCACACATGGATTTTGCTATTTTTGAATAAAATTTTTGACATTAAAATTAAAAAAATAAAATTTTTCATTATAGTCATTTTAAAGTATGGCTGAAAAACTGTTATTCCCTAAAAGGGTTTTTAATTTTTCGTCCATTTAAATAAAAAAATGTTTATTTATAATGTTTCTTCGTAAATTTTTTTCTGGATCCGGAGTTGAGAATTTGACTAGTTTTTCGAGGTTTTGCTTGTTATTTTCATTGTAACTAAAGCAATTTTTTGATAAATATGTGTAAAAATCCCAATTGAATAAAAATCAACGGTACTAATTAACTAATTAACTTTTAAATTTATATTATTAAACAATACAATTTGCGTATTTTTATTATGTCTCAACTCCGAACCTGTTTAAAACAATCGTTTTTCAAAATAATTTTGAATTTCAACCTATAGTATCGATAAAAGTAATAAAATTGTATAAAATCCCTAAAGGATTTTTTATTTAGTCCTTAATTAACAAAGTAATTAATGTTTTTCATTTGTTTCTCAACTCCAGCTCTCTCAACTCCGGCCCCCGAAATTTTATTGAGCATGCGCAAGTTTCGCGCGAGCAGAAACGACACTCAACTACAGGGCCGTCATTCAGCTTTTCAGTTCCCTTGCGTTTAAGAAACTTAATTTTTTTTCTCTATTTTTATAAAAAAAAGCCGAGATAAATTTCTACAAAACAATTAATTTTTGCAAAGAAATTATTGTTTTGTTCTCGAAAAATTAAATATTAAAAATTTAATTACATGTCTGCGCAAAAACAATGGTGCCTGGGGCCCCGGCCGCCCTTGCTACGCTATTGCGCTGAAAGTACTACAATACATATTTATCGTTAAAATTACATTAAAAACGGTTTTTAAGCTCAAATATTTATTAGAATCACTTGTTCCAATCATAATTAATACAAAGGATGCAATAAACATGTATTTTTAAATAATTTTGAAAAAAAAATTCCTTATTCAAAAGTGACCCGTTTCTGGAGAATCACCCATATATATACAATATTACTGTCCACAAATATGGCTTCAATATTGCAGAATATTTCATAATACTAAAAATATTACATTATAATGTAAAATTTTTATAATTAAATATTACATGCATCAAAAAATTACTCTCATTTTGCATTCATATAATTAACGAAAAAAAATTTTCTCTGGCTGTACTTTCAATTTTTGCATTTTTGTTTTTCCTTATTTATTCAAAAACGTGTATATACCTATAAAATCTTTGTATATGGATACGAGAGTATTTAGGAAAAAAAAGTGCAATACATTGAGAAGGCACTTGATTCGCGAAGCTGGTACTTGAGTTTAATAATAAAATGTCGCATTGTCACTTGAAGGGTCGTGCTCGAGGGTGGTTTTTGGTGCGACGTGCGTATATATATATGTATATTGTCGTCGCATTCTTCCACACCCCTGAGAGAGAGAGAAAAATATATGTGTAGTACACTTTGAAATCTAAAGGACTGCTTTCACGTGCGAGTGACCCCGACATTTTCTGTTCTTCTCGCTTTGCGGTAATTTATTGCCGTGTTCCTTGACAACACTCTTTACGCATGCTTTCGAATGTTTTTATTAACGCTTTGCACGAACGCCCATCATGAGTATCTTAACCGCCCCGCACAAAAAAGAAAAAAAAAATCAACATAACAATCCTAGAATTCTACACAAAAATCATTGTTCCTGTTAAAAGAGTTTTAAAAACTTTTTTTTTATCCCAATTATCGTTATAAATTTCATTCAAATTTTTACAATATTTAATTCATTAAATTAACAATTAATTCAAAGTGCTAATTGAATTAAATAAAAGACACATTGTAAAACAAATTTTATAAATTTAAATTATTTTGAAAATCAAAAATATTACTTATAGAATAAAAATCGGCGCAATAATCCATATAAAAATATTTTTTAAAAAATTAATCTCGCACAAAAAATTATAATCGATTCAATGTCTTATTTGAAAAATTTATAATTTGAAATTCAACTGATTGTAATGCTTGTTTATTATTGTTTTGATATTCGTTTAATATAGTAATTGTATTCCTGAACAAGAGGAGAGGTATCTTTTGTCTGGATTCTAAAATTTAATATTTCAAACTAATAGTAATTAATTAATTTATGTTTTTGTATTTTAAACGTTTATTATTATGTAATTTCATTTATTATTTAAAATTTTTTAATTTTATAATTTTTTAATGGTCTTTTTAGTAAATTTTTTTTCAAAATTCTCTTACGGATTGAAGTAAAAAAAAATGTTTTTTTCTTTTATTATTTTTTTCTTTTGTAGAATAAAGTTTTGAAAACATAAAGATTTGCATCAAAAAATCGATTTCTAAAAATTTGGGTATTACAAAATGCTTTCTCTATAAGGAAATAAAATTAATTTACATAGAAAAAATTATTTTAAAGAATAAAAATTAATTTTAAAAATCTAAATTTCTTGGAAATTTGAAGGATGTAAAAACATCAATGATCGAACTGGATCAAGATATATTTATTTCCTTGATCGTGC